TGTTTCTGACGCACGACCAGCCCTCTCTTCGGTACATCTTCTTCTGCCGGGCCTAGGACTTTCTGTCGGCCTGGAAGAGGAAGACAAGAGTAGCAGTAATTGCATCACAAACGGCTCAGGTCCACTCGACCGAGTGCTCTCGGTCAGACGACACCATCTCGGAAGGCTTGTCTTCACTTGTTACGTTAATAAGTTGGAACTCTGTGCTAGCGATGACACCTCTAAATGACAATGCACCAAGTCAATGGTGCGATGCTGAAAGCCTTGATTACTATTGAAGAGGGCTCAAGACTGCGTGCGTTCTACAAGATATTCATGACGAACATCTTAATAGATTATATATAGGTTTTAGTTATCAAGTAAGATAAAGCCAAATAAGGTAGCCATGTCGAAGTATTAAGTATACTTTTAGGTTTTCTATCCCTTAATTGAAAAGCCTCTCGTAAGTTATTCATAAATTAAATTTAAATATCATCGAGTAATTACTAAAAATTTATTGCAGAGTTATAGGTAAGCCTGTCAATAGGAAATAAAGTCGTAACATTGAAATGCTATATCCTTCGATTGCATGTATAGTGCTTGAGAAAGAACTGGATAAGAAAGTAATAGTATCAGAATGTTCAGGTACCTTTCCCTGAAGCCATTTAAGGCGAACATTTATTTTGAACTGCTTTTCGTCAACTTTAAACATTGGGTATTTAAGAGGGGAAAGTAGTGGCTAAGTTAAGAAATCAACAGGAATGGCAGATGCAGGAATTTCTAAGATTTTCTAACCATAGTGACTAGAAATAATATTAATATATTTTAGCTGAGGATCTGCAGCTTGAATGCGATGGATATTAATGAAGAGACTTAAAGTAGTTCGAAAGTAATGTCCTTTACTGACAGACAGGGCCGTTTGGATGTAGGAACAGTGGTCACCAGTATTTCTAAATAATTCTACTCCAAATAGTTTAGTGAATATTATGTTACTATAGTTTCAATTTGCAATTTGCCAAAATGTTAGATAATGTTTAGGGACAAAGAGAGTTTAACAAATACCTGTGTGATGTGTGAAATGATGTTAAGTTTCTTAAAGATTAAGATCTATAGGCATAGGCTCAGTGAATTTAAAATCTAAAACATCATGAGTCAATTAATCTTAAATCAAATACTGAATTCTTACTTTATTTTTGCGTAAATAACCTTAAAATGAGGGCATTCGATTGAAAATAATAAGGTTAATATTGAAAAACAAACAAATTATTTTTATTCATTTCTAGGTGTAGGATATATATTTGCTGGGAGTAACTTATTTGTGGTTGCATTCCCAGATATTACAATTGGCCGATAAATATTGGCAGCTTATCTATTATTAATTAATTTAATAACTTTACATGTATGTGGCTTTAATAAATAATCCCAAATACATTAAATAGAAATATATTTTTTCGTGCAGCTCTCTCTTTCTGAGTAAGTGATATCTCAATGAATTCCTATAAATGCAACATGCAATTAATATTAAAATAACAGGGTAAAGAGTATTTAAAGAAATGAAATTTGATTTTTGAAGATTGTGTACTCACATATTCATATTTTCAGGTGTCATGGATAAGTAAAAATAGCTATTAATTCCACCGGGATATATAAGAGTTTTCATAAGATTATGAGCTCCATTGCCTTTATAAATAAATAGATACCTAAAAGATCCAGCTAAAATCGTGCGGATCCTGGTTTTCTGACTGGCTGGGATAACTAAACTTTGTTTAATTTGAATTAAATCAATTTATTAAATATATTCTGGGATGTTCGCAATGGGTTCTGAGTTTACAATAAACAAAATGTTAGATATTATTTAGGGACATAGAGAGTTTGGCAATTAGTTATTCTCTTAGGTTTTCTATCTATCTATTGTCAATAATCGTAAAAATTTATTAATCTAATTTAACTATCATGCAATATTTATTACCCATTTTTTGCTGAGGTATAGTCAAGCCTGTCAATAGGAAATAAATATGTGATATTGAAATGCCAAACCCTTATATAATTTATATTGTATGTATAGTGCTTGAGAGAGAGGATTTATAATGGTCCGAAGTACGTTTAATTATTAAAAATTACGGAATTAGGAACAAACACATGGATATATCATTGAGCTTTATTAGCTAAGAATTAATAAATTGATTTTTTAGGCCCAGACGTTTAGCACTGGAGTCTTGCCATTCTACAAATTGACAACTGAAATCAATCGTTAGGCTTTTGCCCAATATGGTGCTCTCTCTTTTCTTTTCATCGAAGTATATCTTTATATTGGCTTAGGGTAGTTCAAAAGTACCGTCCAGGGCTGATAGGAACGGCAATTTTGATTCGATACCAGTGAACTCTAGGATTTCTAAATAAGCCTACTCCAAATTGAACAGTGAATATTTTTATACTATAGTTTCAATTTGACGTGTGAAATAAATCAAGAGCTTTTTTACTGCTACATTTAGTCCCACCTCATCGAAATAAAATCATTAAAAATTGTCAGGATATATACATTAATAATTTATGTAAAAAGCTTCGACATTTTATTATAGGCATTGAAACCTTCAATTTAGTTTTGAACAGATAATCTAAAAATTCTATTCTAAGCTTCAATCTAGTGTTTACCTGTGCGAAAGATATCTGAATCATATTACCTGTACTAAAAAGAACTCACTCCTGTTGCAATTTGTGCAAATGAGGAGTATGATCATCAGAATCTTGAGACTAACAGACACTGAGTTCTGGAATGGGAAATTGGAGAAACTGACTCGGCTCGCCTTAGTAACGGGTACTCCAGAGAAGTAGATAAAAGAAATATAGAGTTCGTATAGAGCAGATTTCAACTAGGATTTTATGAAAATAAGATTAGGAATCTGGAGGACGACCAAAAGTGGATATGCCTGCCCTCCTGTGAACTGAGCCTGAAATTGCGAACATTGCTAAGAAAATAGAAATCAAAATGATAACGAAATAAAAGACTACGCACTTCACCAGCCTGCCAGCGCAACACGAGAAGGCTGAAAATCTGTAGTGCTCGGGAGTCTATAGCATCAAATGTGGCAACTGTAAACATAAGTAAATTCAACAGTGGCTGTGATGTGAAAACCAGCGGAGAGTGTGAATAGGTTACAAATAGGTTTAGACAAAGGAGTAATATCATGTGAGCTTATAGGTGTAATACGAGGATATAGGATAGGTGAATAGCCAGGAACAAAAGAAGATATACATAAAATTATGGTGATCAAATTAATATGAATGATGACATAGGTTGCATTTAATTCTAATTTATTTTATGCATCACAGCTATTTTTGTAGATATACGTATATAGAAATCGCATATGAAATATTCATGCAAACACAAAGGAAAAACAACTCTTTCGGCAAATCTACCGAATCAATCTGAAACATATTGAGTTGCTCATGAGAATACTACATGGCATACGGGGTCTGGAAAATGATATGTTGAGGAAACAGAATGAAAAGTCAGGATACTAAGCAAGGAACACCAAAGGCTCTGCATGAAAATGAATACCGAATGATCAGAAAGAATGAAACACATTGCACAGACTGGAGATGAGGTCAATTGCAAGATAACAGAAAGAAGGGTCTTATACGGTGGAAATTCTAGAAAACGGAAGATTAAGGTTGGCCTTGTTGAAAAAAATTTGATCAAGAGAAGATTTGAAGAAGAGAGATTTTGCCAAAGGTATGCCTATTGCTTAAGCTACCTTGGAGAAAAAAAGGATACGTTAGGACTAGCAAAAAGTTAAGGCTTGTATTAAGAAATGATCATTAAAAGGAGAAAGTGGATGAGTGGCATTTGGGTAATAGGTGAAGACGTTCTCAGTTAGTTTAGTATACTCGAAAAAATAACGAAAACCTCAAGGCTTAGTGGTCACAGTACAATGAAGAATATAGTATTAACGAAATCTGGACAAGGACGAAACAATAGTTCATCTTTTTGTTGAGAAAGTCTAATTTTTATTTAATGAAATGAAATGTTTTAGACACACATCAATAGATAACCGAAGATCTCTGTGAATTTCAAACTTATTGAGCTCAATTCTTCAATATCCTCATCATTACCAGTATTTTTCATTATACAATTTTCCTATAGAATTCCATTTCTAATAAACTTTGATGTTTGCTTTTCCAATTTGGTATTCGTGAAATGAATATCATTTGCTTATGACTCTTGGGATTCGGCTCCTCAGTATTGTAATATTAATTTTAGTAGTATGATAAGAATTGTAAGAGAGAATTATTCCTATGTTGGATCATTTTCTAGACAATTCCTTCTTTAAGGAGACCTGACGGGAAATAAATTTTACATCCAAATTGTAGTGTGAATAGCCCTCATATATACGACCTGGAGTCCATAAGACCTATCCATTGCAATGTCCAACGAATGAATGTGATATAGGAATATGGCTGACTTACATTGAAATTGATATCTACTTTGTGACCCAATTATCATAATGGCCATGTGGCGTAATGGTTGACGTGCCGAGGTTACATGCAGAAGTGTCATGGTTCGAGACAAGATGATGTTGTTAACGAAATCGAGGCGAGGACAAAACTAAAGTCCATCATTTTGGGGAGAAAGGTCATTTAAAATTAAATGGAAATGTAATATTTACACATAGCATTGCAGAAAATTTCAACTACCATTTATTCATCACATTAAATGATGGAGGGCAAAACCATCTCATATATCTGATTACTAGTAGTCTCGAAATTC